CTGAGTACTTGCTTCTCATGATTCATATCTCAGTGCAAACATCACTTTTTCATGAAAGCATATCACATTCCCTTAGACTAAGTAAGCTTCCTTTATTACAAACTCTCAGAGAACACTCTAACTTTACTTTCCATTGACTGTGTGAAATAAATTCAAGTGCACTTTCTTGTAAGCATTTGGACTAGTGCTAAATACATTTTAACTTAATTCTGCTTCACCCTTTTTCAGTAAGACTGTTTTCAGTGTTCAAAGACAATTGTTAGGACACATTTTATTTCTACTCTGCAAGAAAAAAAGCTTTTAAAAAAGGAGCACTGGTATGTATTTCCTTAGACCTATGCTAGAACAAAGGGGAAAATTCAACACAAAAGGAAATAGTACAGATGATATAAAAACTAAGATAAAATTAGTTTCATATTTTATATATAATGGGAAGTTGCCAAAATGAGTAACAGGGCAGCAGTATTGTTCTAATTGTATAGTTAATGTCTTCATACCTAAAAGAAGTCTACCCTGTGCCAAGGTTTGAAGGCAACAAAAGTTATGCGTATATTACAACATACTGCAATATATCCAATAATATATTACATTATACCAATAAATAATTTTCTATATAGTCTATATATATAATCATTTGATATTTTCAACTATTACATTGTTCTGTTCGAAATATAGTGAGGGAAGTATCACCACTGGACGGAATCTAATTAAATGGGGCTTCTTGTGACAGAAGCTTCAGTTTGCATTTATGTACTTAGTAACATACTTGATACAAGTCAGTTTCCTCTACTAGATGCTTAACTATGACAGTGAGCACCATGTCCCTTTTGGATCACCATTTCATACCCAGAATCTACCACAGTGAGCACATATATATTTTATGAATGATACCAGGGTACACAACAACTCTCATCATGATATTCAGTTTTTTAGAGAATGAAAAAGAATGTCTTTGGAATCAAAGTAATATTAACATAATACTGCTTTCTAAATGAATTAAAGATATTCTGCAGAGCAAAGAACGTGCCAACTGCTTCCTCTTTTGTCAAGTGTTAAGACAAATATAAGAAAAACTTCAAGTTTCTGTTATGGAAAAAGGTACAAAAATTGGAAAACCTATTAAGATGGAAAAAAATCTGAAAACAGAAGGGTAGTCATAGAAGATACAATAAATGAGCAAAGTTGAGGGGCCAACATAACAAGGTATGTGTTCCCAAGCTGGAGTAAGAGAGCAGAAATACCAGTGAAGACAGAGATTGCAATTGGTCTCCCCATACCTGTTTTCATACTTAACTTAGTAACGGAGCCCCTGACTTTTAGCGGGCCTACGACTGCCTAAGTGAATATCTACATTTCCCAGTTTACCTTATAGCTAAGTGGGCACATGACTAATTTGTCACCAGTGGAATGCACAATTTGTGAGAGAAAAAGAGTCTTGCTCTTTTTCTTCTTTTTACAGTCTTTCCTTCTTATATAGATGTAGATACACAATCTGAAGCTATGGCAGCACTCTTAAATCCTAAAGTGACTTTAAATTAGAAGCTGAGATACAAAGTTAATGGTTAAAAAAACACATTTAAATATTATAGACAGAAAATAAGTTCAGTGTATTTTTTATTTAGCCTTGAGAATTTTGATCAACCTGAGGGGAATTTAAAATTTTTAGTGCATTAATTTGATTAGATTTTAAATTCTACAAGTTAACCTTAAGGTTAACTATATTGAAACTGATAATGTTACAAGTCTCTGAAAGTATAATATTACGGAAATCTCTAGTTGCAGTGTAGGAAAACAGTGATTATCCTTTGTAAAGAGGCAGAGACTTATTTGTTTAAAATCTCTTTTAAATTAGGCTCATATTAAATGTGAAGGCAAGATATAGTGTAAAGCAATACAGTAAAGAGGATTCTTAAAATCTTATAGTGCAGGGGAGTTCACTAAGAGAGTAATGATTAGTAATATAATAAAAAGCATAAAATAAGGAGGACCTATTGAACATAGTTTGGAAATAACAGATATCTGCATTTGTTTACCCACTTTCACTTCTTGAAGCTTGCTCTCTACCAAATCAAAGCAAACTTCTAGAGATTATTTTTAATAATTTTTAAAAATTATTTTTTTTAATTGGAACATAAAGTCTACACTTTTTAAATAAAATTTTGTACATATTTTTAATAGTGATAAGCTGGGAGTCTCTAGGCTGGAAAATGCCAGATTCAGTTGAAAAGACTGTTTTAAACTTAAAATAAAGCAAGTGATCAATTAGTCATTCTGAAAGCAGAATACAGAGATCCCAACTTCTGTTACCTGACAGCTACTGGAATACTGGCAATCGGGGTCTTGAGCTATAGAGAAGAAATAAAATATTCTCAGGAGAATCTAACAGTCTTAGGAGGAAATCTGCAAAGACAGGGACATATTGATAGATTACAGCATAACAGGTCACCTAAATTAAGCTAGGACAATTTTAAATTAGGTAAGTATTCTCTTCCCAACTGGTCATACACAGAGAGACTCTAAATCTGATTTTAGTTGTTCTGAACTGGTTTACTAAGATTTAACAAGCAAACATCTGAACAAAATCTCTAATATGGAAGATAGAAATCCAAATGAACAAACAGAAAAAAAGCAACAGGGAAGAAAAGGTCTTTTCAGGAAGAAGTGAATGTCTAAGAAATGAGACAAGATACCACAGTCATTAATCAACACCTCATAGAAATTAAAACACCTTGGCAGAAATGAAAAGCTCAGTATAGCATCCAGAAGACAGAGGGAACTCAAATGGGAAGAGAGCAATGATGAATTTAGACTCAAAAGTTCATGGGTTCCAATGTCAACAAAGAGGAAAGAAAGAAAGAAGGGAAGAAAGAAAAAAACTGAGAAAAGAAGGAAAGTGGGTATAGTCAAAGTAGTAGTTCAAATGTTTTCCTGCAGCTGAGGGACAACAGGTGATAACCTGAAAAACTCAGAAAGAACCTTGGACAATAAAGGATGGTAGAGACATGCCTGTGACTGAAATAATTCAGGATGCTAAAGAGAGATAATATCAAACAATTTAAGAGAGAGTTTGTAAAAATCAAAAGATCATATACAAAGACCCATGGAACTAAATGATTTCAGGTTTTCCACAGAATGGAGAATTAAAAAATAAGAAAAAGAAAATTAAAATGGAGGGTGAAATAGTAGAATTTCTTTAGATTTATCTGGGAAAACAATCTCAGCTTAGAATTCTATAGGTAGGAAAACAACTATTGATGAAGATTTTTTAAAAAGCAGCATGAAACATGAAGTATCTACAAAAAAATTAACTTCTCAAGCACTCTTCTCTAGAAGTAACCAAAAGTACATAATGAATCAAAATTAGAGAGGATACATGTTAGAGAAAACAAGATTCTTCACAGCCCAGGGGAAAATTGAACCTCCAGAAAGCAAAAGAAGAGAGGGATCTTGAGATAATAATTCCTCTGCAGGTACAGAGAGTGACCCTTTAGCTCATATTGGAACACAGTGACTCAAATTCTAGACACAGAGCTGTCATTAACCAAAATCCTCAATGTCAGTGTCATTCTGTCTTAAACCTGAAGACAAATTCTCCAGGTAAGCTTGGCCCATTGCTCTTCATACTTCACTTGAGTATTTTGCACACTAATGAAATTCTTGGACTTTTCACACTCTGTTCTTTAAAACAGATGGATACTCTTTTGTCTCTTGTGAAAATTTACACTGATTAAATTTACATCTGAGAGTTGGACAAGAGCCTCCATAAGCCTAGACTCAGAATATATACAACAGCCCACCCCCTCCAAAGTACAAGTTTTGTTCCACACTCCAGTCAGGTGCCTTGATCTGCTGCACATATACATTGTATATACTCTTCTGAATATATAGTATATTTCATAACCAACAGATATTAAAAGGTATCTTGGGGTTAAAATACTTTGAAATCATTAGTACTCAGCACATGCACTCATTCAACAATAGCAATGTGTAATTTGTATTTAAAATAAATATGTATAGATGCAAATATACATGACTGAATTTTCCAATGTTTAAAACACTGCAATCAATAAAATATCCATATCCATTTTATGCATCTATTAAATAGAATCTCCTTAGTGTTCCCTTAGTAGTTAGAGTTATTTATAGAAAGTATGGATATATCCACCTGTGCATTTATATAATTGGTGTTCTCATAGTAGTTCCAGTTAATTAGATGTGTTGTTTATGAATATAAATCTTTGTCATTTGCACCCTGGTTAGGATTATATAGTTGTGGTATATGTGTCTCCATTCATTACCTCAAGTCACAGGTTATGCTGTTGACTAGAACAAATACTCTCTTCCTCACTTTGCAATTTGCATACCATTCTTGAAAATAATGTTTACTCCAACACACTGCCTTCTCAGAGAGGAGACTTTTTTTTTATTGTTCGAAATTTATTTTGAAACTAATATTTCATTACAATTAAGATTATCTCATGTATGTATCAGTACCTAATGTAGGAAAATATCTATTTTGACCATATTATAGACACCTTTTAGGAAATTGAATAAAAAAATTATCCATTCTCTATAATCTGTATTACCTATAGAGTTAAAATGCAGCAAGTTATTAATAATTTTTGAAATTTACTAACTTAATAGAGAGTAAAATATCAAATTTTCTTGAAAATACAAATCATCATTTTCTGACTACTTAAAAACTAAAGATGTGTACCTCCTGTCTACTCACTAAGATTGTTTAATATAATAAGAAATTGAAATTTTAAAATGCTTTAAATTCAAATTAGAATGTGATTGATGAAAAGGTTAACATTATCCAAAACTCAAACAATTTTTGTTAAATATGTTATTTGAGGTTTTTTACCAAGTAACTAACCAATAAGAGGTTTTAGAAATGATTTTTGAAATTGTCTGAAATTATATCTTAGAACAAAATTATCACTGAAATATAAACTTTAACTTAAAATAATCATAACACCAAAAATTTTTAAAGCACTTGGGTTTTTAATTTTTAACTTAATTTAGATATTAGGCAATTTGATTATGTGACAATTTAGACTGAATAAATGCTTCACAGAGATTTTGTTCATTTATTTTCTGTCAGGGGCTCTAAATGTAAGGTTCATTTAAAATTAAGTCAATTAATTAATCAGCAATATAAATAAAATTTTATGGATTGTGTTATCAAAAATAATAGAAAATAAATTATGATTAATGATTAAAACGATTCTACTAGTGTATTAAAATCTAAACTTCATCACAATTATTAATATTGAATCTAAATATTCCTTTCCCTTTGTTGAATTCCACTGGACTATTAATACACAAGAAACTCTTAAATTGGATATGAGCTAAACTTCAAATACCAGTGATCACTGTACAATCTTGTACAACCCAATGAACATAGTCAGTATCCACACACAGAAAGGGTCAGATTATGACTGTTATCTCCAGAATCACTATTTTTTCTCCTTTTAACTACCCTAAGCCTAAAGACTACATTACATCACAGTCCAGGTTTTCCTAAGTCTGAGTAGCTCCTTCTCCAAGCTTTCTTCTTGTCTTCAGGTGTTGGGAAGTGGCCATGTTTGATGACCTAGAAGGATTCAGAATGCGTACTTCTCTTAACACAAAGAGTATATGGTGCACATACTTATACATGCAAGAGAAAAATGAAAGTCAAAGCTGAAAGTAAAATGGACATAATTTTAATGTTTTTTTTTTTTTAATTTTGTGCGTTGGATTCAAACAGCAAACTGTGTGCACTCAACTGTTATCACAATGTTGTCAAGAGGTCTGTGTCTTTTACCATTTTACACACAATTGTTCATTACAGCATGTTGTCAGTCTCATGGAAACCAGGGGTGTGGCATGGTAAGCAGTGGTGGTAGTGCACCTAGCTTTTATATTATCTAACTTGAAAATATTTCTCTTCTATGATTCCTTTTTCTTGATAAAAATAGTTTTCACCAAACGTTGGTGGTGCACACGCACTACCATTCATGCTTGACATCACACCCCTGACAGGAACACATGTTCTTATTTTGTTGATAAAAAGTATTACAAAAATTTCCATACAAAAACTATTTTCATAGAAATCTTGCATTTCCACAAATAAACCTGAACATTTTTTTGAAAAAAAACTGCTCAAGAATTTTGTTCATTTAACATTGTGACTGTATTGTTAAATGCAGTCCACTTCAAAGTTCTTTGCACATACTTTTCTGTAGATGACAAGTCCCCTTTCTCTTATCATCAAGATCTGCCCAGACCCATCAGGTTCATTTCTAACAGGAACAAGGGTTTGGATTGACATATCTTAATGTTAGCATGAAAGCTTCTGCCTTCACATAACCAATCAATATTGAGCCCTCCTTTACAAGTTCAGACAAAGATTGCAAAACATCATCCTTTCGACTCAGAAACAATGAACCAACTGTTGCATTTTTATTTCTGGTGTGGGGTTAGGGAAAGGGTATCAGGAGAATAAGTAGGGATCTGGTAGAGTTGCATGTTAAATCTCTTGTCTTGGTGAACTTAAGAAAAAAAAAAACATTATTGCCTTCATAATTGATATTTCTATCTCAATCAGCAACACAGACTATCAGAAAAAGAAAAAGAAAGAAAGAAAAACAATTGATGAAGATCTGCTTTATATTCCACTTTCCATGGAATTCAGATGTGTTTTGCATTACATTTTTTTCACATCCTATAAACACATGTTGTTTATTCAGACAATAATACTGAGTAGTGGGGGCTAGTAACATAATCACTTCTATTATCTGGCTGCTCAGAAGACTGTACTGTTTCTTGTTACACTACAGTTTTTGCTGATTCCAAATATTTTTATTCTTAAAGACTTTTTTCTACTGGTTACCCTGTTGGGCATTGACATTCCATCTCCTGGCAACAGATGGGCTTCAAAAGAACCTGTAATTGCTCACTGGACTGCATTTGAAACCAGCCACAAAATGCGCATGTAACATTCACTCAGAAGAAGGGAGGAACCCATGATAAACAGTGTAACCCCGTGTAACTTGGTTGATCCATGATGCTTGTAAATCAAGTCTGATCATTGTAACTGCTTAGATCACAGAGTCTCTAGTTCATAGACACAGCGGCATGAGGTAACTCATTTTATTTTGCACAGGTTGCATATTTCCACAGGAAACATTCTCGCTAAATTGCTTGGAAAAAAAGACGACAGTTTGTGCTTGGGTGTTTGGCCTCCCAGCTTTATGCCATGGTTTCTTTACCTGGCAACCTTCTGTCGTTAAATGTGTGCATGTTGATAACTTCTTCTGTTTTCACAATAACTGGGGCCTGTGGCTTGTGTTTTAGACGACGCTGGCACTTCAGGGACATCCTCAGTTCTTCTACCATAGCACTACAGAAGGATCTCTACAGAAAAACACAGAATATTTGAATATTACAAAACAGACAAATTGTAAATTTCCAGAAACAATATTAAAATCTATCTCAATAGACTTGCCAATTTAGCAGACTCAAAGGTTTGAAATTTTTCATTATAAAAGTTATAACAAATTTTTACAGTGTTAAGATACAACATATTATAATTAAAATATGCCATCAAAGTGGGCTAGTTTATATCCACCTGATACAGAAATGAACTCTCAGCTAGTAATGTATATAATTCATATCTATTGAAAAAGATTTTCTGATGACATATGTAAAATTGATCAGTATAAAATAAAAATCTACCTTAAAATTTAAATTCAAACATACATAAATCTGCACCAGAAATCCATTCTTGACAGTTAAAAAGTAAACAATATAGAAGAAATGTACTACTTTTCAGATCACAAGATGAAATATGCAAATTTTCTGTAAACATTGACTCTTCATTATGCATCTCAAAACAACAGAAATAGCACTCACACAGACAAAGCTATGAAAATAATTTCTAGTATTTAATTACATTTTTGTGACTTTACCTATAAAATATCAATGGTGATTAGAAACAAATGTGATTTAATTATGAAATGACAAATTGTAACGTGTTAAACATCTATGAATAAATATTATCTTTGTTTTGTCATGAACAACTTGACAACTGAGAGCTGAAAATAATTCATCCCATGAGAAATAAAAATGACCCAATTTTTTTTTCTTAATTCCCATCTTATTTGTAAAAGATTTTCTAGATATTCTGTATATCTGGGGATCATTATCACAGCTCCTCAGAATTCCATTATAGAGTTGTATACATGAAACAAAATTTGGTTAGTTTCTTTCTCCACTTGATTGAGATATTTATGTGTTAGTTACACTCAAATCAGATAAACCAACTGCAGCATATCATAGTTGAAACTCAAATTAGGCTCTTTTTGTACAAGAACCAAAAAATCTAGACAACAACCAAACATTGACAAGTACAAAAACAGTTACAGAACTGTAAAAAAGTGATATGAAAACATGATGAAATAAACCTAATCAAAAATGCATGTGAAGACCTGTTTGTTGCATTAGGTATTTCTACCTTGCTGTTTCTTAATTTAGACTACTTCTAAGAGATATAGAATAAAAATTTTAGCACACATATGTCTGATGTTCTTAAAAATTAATTTGCATGCATGGTCTTTTGTGACACTTTAAACAATACATTAGTTAGGCCTGTACATGACAGAGACAGTAAATCAGAGGTAAGTGACTTCCTGTCATTCACACCATCTTCTGCAGTGTATCCAAGTTATGAGATTTTTGACACCTTTTTATTCATCTGTGTCTATATCCTCATTTTTCTCTGATAAGGTCCTTAAATAACTTACTTACTGGCCTTCCTAAGTATGTGTTTACTATATTCCATCTGTAAGGGCTCACAGTTGCCAGGATAATCTACATATTTAACCATAAATTATTAACAACATTTTCTCCTGTAAGAAACAGGTCAAATCATATCTCCCATTGTGACTTCTCTGATTCAGCCCTCTCCCCATTTTCCCATCTTCCCTTGCCCCAACTTCTCCCTTTCTCTGTCTACACAGCCTTCTCTATTTGTACCACCACAACTTTTCTCCTTTGCTTCTTCTTGCTCTGTTATCCTGTTGAGGTTTTTCATTTTTATATAACTACCACTTTATCCCTTAGCTCAGGACATGACTCAGATATTAGTTTATCTAGGAAGCCCTTTCCACAGGCTGATTATTTTCACTCAATTTAGTTCTATTCTCCAGTATTTTGTACTCATTTTTATGCTTTTCTATCAGGCCTCTAGGTCTCCTATGCATCATTCACGCTGAACTGTAAAGAGCAGAGAACAATTTCTTATGGCACTGCTTGTACACACATGTGTTCTTTAAGTGCTGATCGAATTAACAATAGCAATCTAATTAATTATTAACAACAATAAGTACACATGCCCTAATATTTTAACTCTTATTTAACAGTTTTTCTGATTTATTTGCTTAAAACTTTTTCACATTTAGAAGCTTAACGAAACCAAATGTAAAACTTTGGCATTTGTTGAATAACATAAAATTAGTAAAAATGTTAATTTATTATCACTGAAAATGGGTGATGATTAAATGTTATCCATAATTTCCCATTAATTATAGTCACTAACATTCATTATTTATTATTTGTTAAAATAAACAGTTCTGAAATTCATGAATTATACATCTATTAAAGGACTTCTATGGCACCTGCCAGCCAATGTATGGACACAGTGTTTCTCATTGCTTAATACCTACTATTAGATGTATTTATTAAGAACATGATGATAATGATGATGAAGATGATGATGATGACAACACTGCAGAAATGGAAAAATCTGACTCCAAAAGGGGGAGAAATACATAGTCTTGAGGTAACTTAGTCTTGGCTCTCTGTTGAAACATTTAACAGAAGAATGGATTAGATAATGTGACAGGCTCAGACCTTGATCCTATTACCCTTAAAATGTTGTAGGACGTGAAATACAGAATTGTTTGAATTAAGATTTTTGTTCAAATGCACCAAATTCCCCCAACACTGACTAATTTGTATCACCTTCTTTTGGCAGTCTCAATTTTCAGGCACTTTGATTACATTGGTTTCAAAGCAGAAAAGGCGGAAATATTATTATTATTTTTTTTGTCTGTACTAAAGAAGTAGACTAAGCAACCAATTTTCTTAGGAACTAATCTTATAAGTGTCATATACATGCAACTACAAATGACTCAATTTTATTTCTAGTAAATTCAATAATTGGTACCCTATGCTTATCTTAGAATATAAATTAAGACATAAAACTATTTTAAGTAATTTCATGTAATATCAGATTTTAAGACTAATATAAAATGTAGGCAAAACCTGTTCCAATCTAAGATCAGAATAGTTTATCTTTTATACTTTTAAATTATCTTAAGTAATTATAGTTACCAATTTAGAAACAATCTAAAACTTATAAACCTGTAACCCACCTTTATCATTTTAGACTTCATTTGTTTTACAAAGCCATTAGAAAGTGAAAATTTTAGTGAAGCAACCTTTAATCAACCAATGGTCTTGATTGTATAATGTCAAAATATCAACTTTATTAATCTTCTCTCTAAATAAGCTGAATTTTGCCAGTTCCTTTTTGATCTATCAGTATAAGATTACCTGAAAAAATAGTTTTCCTTTAGGTTACAAATAAAATTACTGTGAAAAGATAGGTTCTTATCTCATTGAGAGATTATTTCAAATCCATCATGAAACTTTGACATCCTTTCAATTTCAGAAAGATTTTGGAATCAACAGAACAAATCAAAGGCATTTAATGATATCATAAAGTATGACTTAGTTGTTTTTAACTAGGGTATACATCTTATTTTGTTTAGTTTTGGTTTGGTTTTTGTTACAGTTCTGTAATATAAATTCCATATCTTGATCTGTGTATATATCTAAAATTGAAATCACATAGTTTTGTGAAATATCCTTATTGTATGCTGTCAGAAAGTTACTATAACGTTTACATAAAGCTTTAACTTGTTATCATTCAATAGAAACAGATTTTTCTACTTCCCAAGAGTGTTTAGAATTTTTAATTGAACTATGAAATAGGCTTTACAAAAATCATGTGCACTTTACATGAGTTTCCCAAGTTATCATAAAGAATTAGTAGGAGGAAAGAATAAGAGAAATAAATGAAGCAAGGAAGGAGTGAAGGAGACAGGGAGGAAGAAATAAGTGTAGAGAAGGAAGTACCAGAGGGAAAACTACTTTGCCTATAAATCACTTCTTCTCAGGGGTGGAAACCCATGCATTGTGTCCTTACATAAGGGAAGTCCCTTAGAGTGAAAACAGCAATGAAAATGTTTCTCCACATTAATGTAACAGACTACAAAAAGAAAAAAGAAAGGCACAAGGATACTAACCATTATTAAAAACCTCTTTTAGTAAGTTTCAAAAGTTTACTAAACAGTGTCTGGATGGTATGGTGGCACTAACCAAATAGAAGATTCCTGAAAATGAAAATTTAAATCTTTGAGCTGTTAGCATGTATAATTGCATTAAAATAAGTAAAATTCTTTACAAAATTTACTAGATCGAATGAAGCAAACTATATTTACATTTCTCATTCTTCAATAATAAATGCCTAGAAATTTTTAAAAGTATAAAACTGGTTAATTTACATTGATTTTAAAGCCCTAACTTGTATTTTGAGTATAATAAAAACACACATAAATAGTCCACTGATACATGTGCACTTAAGTGGTTTCACAAAACACCATTGTTGGTATTTCAGAATAACTTAACTTTCCAATTTATAGATATATGAAAACATGATGTGATAGCTTTTGGAAAACAGATATTTTAAACATTAGAATTCTAGATATAACCACACTCCACATTGAACACTGTCATAAAATTTATTATTAAGTTAAAACCAGACCGCAGAAAAATTACAAGTTTGATATTTTTAACTCTTAAGCTCATCATTCTCATGTTAAATTAATGTATTTGCTTATCACCTAAACAAATAATCATAAAGTATATTTACTATCAAGTCTTTATTAGTGTTTGTTTTTAAGAATGAAACTATTTTATGTGTCTTGCTATCCTATTTCTTGAGAGAATTAACTAAATCATTCAGAATGATTCACAACCATTTTTTCATATAGTTATTTTTTGAATCCCTGTGAAAATATCTTTGATCTGCTGTATCAGGTTTTGTAATTAATCTAATAACATATACCAGCATATGACAACCAAACTGTTCCATTTTGTTGTTTTCATTTAAAATTTTTTAACCAGTTATGGATAATCAATACATTCTTGACACTTTCCACTTAATTTCTGTCCCTATAAGCCATTTGCTGTAGAAACATGAATTGTATGCAGTGGATGCGAATCAAAATAGTTACTGTCATCCATTACAGAAAATTATATCATATTAAATAATAACTAAATAAATAACT